GAAGCAAAGCAGACACCAGGTCTACTGCCCTCTGCTGCCCCTACAGGAACCAGGAACACACTCCAACTAAACCTCCCAACTCTAAAAGGCAGAAGAAAGGCGACGACGACCCTCAGCGTGAGTGCGACCTTAAGACTATTCTAGAAGCTGTGAATTCACTGACATCAACAGTGAGTTCACTGATGAAAAAGGTTGATGCACAAACTGAACTTCTGCAGAAGTATGAGAGAAAGATGGAGGAGAATGCTGCTGCTATTAAAGTGAACAAAGAGAGCATAAAGGGGCTGCAGGAAAAAGTCAGTGAGCTTGAAGAGGAGAACAAACAGCTGAAGGAGTCTGTGATGGAACAAGCTCGATACAAAAGGAGATGGAATTTGAGACTGAATGGCCTTGCAGAAAAAGAGGGGGAGAACACCAGAGAGGAGGTTATTGGCATTTTGACCAGAGTGGTGCCCATCTCAGTGGATCAGCTTCGTGGGACAGTCGACATCGTACATCGCCTGGGAAGGAAGAGTGACCCCGCCACTTCAAACAACGCTCCGCGGTCAATAATAATCCAGTTCGTGGCAAGAACGGTTCGAGACGAGGTTTGGAAGAGATCCAAGGATGCCAGGGTCTGTCAGGAGAAGCGTATCCAGTTCAAAGAAGATTTCTCCAAAGAAGACAGGGAAGCTCGCAAGAAGTTGTGGCCGCTGGTACGAGATGCCAGACAGCGAGGGCAGAGAGCTTTCCTGAAGGAAGGATACGCTCTGATCAACAACCGCAGAGTCGACCCTTCATAGACACTCACTGAGCTTTTCACTCTGGATTTTATTCAGTCTTATTACTGATAAATGATAACAATAGATAGAGTTTCGATTCACCTGATATGCCTTAAAAGTTAAATGCACCTTATTCTGATAGTAGATGGGACAAGATTTCTCATTCCTGCACATCTTATGATTCCGTGTTCTACCTCAAAAGTTTTTAGGTATATTATCTTTTATTTCTTTAAATGCTAGGGGGCTTAAAAACAATGTGAAACGAAAAGCTGTTTTTCTTTTTTGCAAGGAGCAAAGAGCTAATTGTGTTTTCCTACAAGAAACTCACTCTGGTGAAGACGATGTGAACTTTTGGAAGTTACAGTGGGGTGATTCTGTTTTTTTCAGTCACGGGACGTCACACTCAGCGGGTGTTATGATTCTGTTGAACAGATTTCCTGGCAAAATTTTACATCATACTAGTGACACAAACGGGCACTGGCTGATGGTGATAACAGAAATTAATGATGAAAACTTTATTTTGGTGTGTGTTTATGCTTACAATGAAAGAGGCAAAAACAAAACTTTGATATCTGACTTATGTCAACATATTACAGATAGTATTCTTACTCAACAGATAAAGTTATAGTTGGGGGTGATTTTAATTTGGTACCCGATCTATGGCTAGACAGAAATCCACCTCGGGTCCACTGTCATAAATATGATGACCTGATTGTTCAATTAATGAATAGTGCAAATTTGATTCATTATTGGAGAGTTAAACATCCTGGGACTTGTCAGTTTTCCTGGTTTAATGCCTCTGGGAATGGTCTACGTTCTAGAATCGATTACTGGCTCATTTCTAATTCTTTGATAAATCATATTAATAAGTGTGAGATATCTGCTGCACCTTTAACTGATCATTGTGTTATTTCTCTATCTCTTCTGTTTTCAAGGTCAGATCCTGGTCTAACTCCTGTTTGGAAATTCAATAATACTCTTTTGCAGAATTCTGTTTTTGGTGAAGATGTCAGGCAGCTGGTGGTGGAGGTCAATGCCTTGGAAGTGTCAGCTGTGAGTAAATGGGAATGGTTTAAATTTAAAATAAGGGAGCTGGCTATTGATACAAGTAAAAAACTGTATAAACTGAAACAACAACAACAATTTAATATCATTACAAATATTAATAGTCTTAGTAAAAAGACGGATCTGTCACCTGAAGAACTTGTTGAACTAAATAAATTACAGAGTGAACTAGATAAATTATATGAAGAAAAAACTAAAGGTGCTTTTATTCGTTCTCGAGCTCGCTGGATTGAAGAAGGG